CAGAGACATGGCAGGGGGCATCACAATCCCCAACTTGAAACTATACTACAATGCTACTGTGATAAAAAATAGCATGGTACTGGCAAAGAAACAGACTTGAGGACCAGTGGAACAGATTAGAAGATGCAGAAACAACTGCAGACACACTCAGCCACCTCATCTTCCACAAAGGAACCAAACACCCTCACTGGAGGAAAGATATCCTCTTTAATAAATGGTGCTGGAAAAACTGGGTTTCAACTTGCCAAAGATTAAAACTAGACCCATATCTCTCACCATGCACTAAACTAAAATAAAAATGGATCAAAGATCTAAACATTAAAACAGAAACCCCAAATCAACTGGAAGAGAGGTTAGGTAGAACTCTTGAAGACATTGGTGTAGGAAAAGATTTCATGAATAAAACCTCAGTCACAAGTGAACTACCACAAAGAAACAACAACTGGCATTCATTAAAAAGCTTCTTTACAGCAAGAGAAACCATCAACAGAGTGAAGAGACAACCCACAATGTGGGAAAAAAGTTTTATCAGCTGTTCCTCAGACAAAGGTCTACTATCTGAAATGTATAAAGAACTTACAAAAACCAGACCTCCCAAATTTAAAGACCCAATCAAAAAAGGGGCATCTGAAATGAACAGACATTTCTCAGACAAAGAAGTAGAAATAGCAAATAAACATATGAAAAAATATTCAACATCACTAATCATTCAAGAGATGCAAATTAAAACAACACTGAGATTCCACTTCACTCCAGAAAGAATGGTTGTTATGAAGAAATCAATCAATAACAAATGCTGATGAGGTTATAGGGAAAAAGGAACCCTTCTCCACTGTTGGTGGGAGTGTAGACTGGTGCGATCACTGTGGAAATCAATATGGAGATACTTCAAAAAACTAGGATTAGAGATCCTATTTGACCCAGCTATTCCCCTGGTGGGTATCTTCCCAAAAGAAAAGCATCATAACACAGTGATATATGTGCATATGCGCACCCATGCTTTTAGCAGCACAGTCTGTAATAGCTAAAACTTGGAAACCCCAATCGCCCATCAGTTGGAGACTGGATATAGAAAGTGTGTGTTTTTTTATAAAATGGAGTACTACTCAACAATAGTGAATGAGAAACTAGAGACATTTATAGCTAAATGGATGCACATTGAGGTCATACTCTTAAGTGAAATAAATAGAACACACGTGTAAATACTGAATAGTTTCTCTGGTGTGAGAAACAGAAAGTGTAAATAAGGATCAAAATGTAGAATAGATAATAGGAAGAAAAGGTCCAAAGGGGAAGGGAAAGTGGGATGGGTTGGGGAAAGGAAATAAGGGAAAGAGATAAATATGAGAAAAGAAAAAAATGGAAACAAAATCTTTGTAAATAGGGAGGGATGAGAGTTGAAGGGAGGTCAGGGAAGTGGGGAAAAAAATAAGAACCCAGATATATCATGCAAAAAAGGTACAAATTCCCAATGATGAATGTCATTGTATTGTATACCTAAAATGTACCAATAAACTTAATGAATTAAAAAAAGAAGAGTTTAGTAACATTGACTATTTGATAATTTTAAATTTCTATGAAACTATACACTATAGCTAAGATTAAAAAGCAAATGACCAATGGAAGAAAGTATTTGTAATCCACATAACTGATAAAATAATGGTATCCAGAATTTATAAGGAATTTCTAGATATTTATAAAGAAAGAAGTCAAAAATTATGTAACAAGTATGAATAAGCACTTTAGAAAGAAAGAAAACTGCCCACTAAACATGAAAAGATTTTCAACCTCACACGTAATCATGGAGTATAAATTTAAAAATTAATGAGGAAATTTTCATGTCTATCAGATTGGGATAGTTCAAAAAGTGAAGATGTAATATCTCATAAAGTTGAGAGAAATCTTATAAAACTGAAAATATGCAAATCCTACAATACAGTAATTCCTCTCCTAGGTGTTACCTGTACGTTGAGAAAGTCCTGAACACAGGCACCGGCAGACATGTGCAGGGAGGCTGCTGCTGCTCTGCAGGCTAAAATGAAACTGCAAACTGAAATATCAGCCACTATAAAAATGGAAATTTGGATATTTCTTTCTTTTGTGGGGCGGGGTACTGGGGATTGAACTCAGGACCTTGAGCTTGTGAGGCAGGCACAGTGCCACTGAGCTAAATCCCTGACCCAAGAATGGCTATTTCTACTATGGAATGAGTCTACTATTTCTACTATGGGACACTAACTAGCAACTAAAAAGAGTGAACTAGATCTCTACGTGTTAAAAACGGTATATCTCAAAACACAAGGTTGAAAGAAGAAATACACATTCCAGAATGATATGGTATGATCATGTTCACAAAAAATTTTAAATCATCAACTATATGATAAATTGTGTTAAAATCAATATATGGCCTAGAAAAATAGAAATAATATTCATGATCATGGTTACCTTTGATGAAGTTAGCAAGGAAAATAGTGCAGAGTAAGGCCTCAAAAATTGATTCATCTGTAATATTCTATTTCATTTAAATTTCTTATAAATATGAAACAAAAGGAAAAATATTAAAATTTTAGTGCTGGATGATGGGTATTAACAAGTTTATTATACACATCTCTGCACTTTAAAGATATTTTCTAAATGTTAAAATATTTTTAAAAGAAAATAAGTAAAATAAACCACATGCTTTGGTTCTACACAGTTGCTCAGGTTACGCTATACAAATTACACAACACATTTGATAGCATATTTCGTTACCCTGTTCTTCGTGGAGTGCAGGGCAGTGAAGTAATGCCCCGCATTCACTTTAGTAAAATGGAACCAGAGGTCAACAAAAGCATGGTGGCTATGGAAACTCTGGTATCGTCTCAACATTTACTTCCTTAATGCTCACCGCTATAGGTTCACTCTTGCAGTCTAAAATAAGGAGAATACTTAAGTTTGTTTACACACATGACTGATGATACCAAGATTCTCCTGGGCTTTGTTCCTCCAGGCCCAGGTGCTTTCTTGCTCTAAGCTGCACTTGGACTAGCCCTTTCATCACCTGGGTGTGTGTAATTGCCTCGTTATTCCTTTCATTCCTATGGGCATGTGCTTGTTTTGGTGTTTGTGAAGCCAAATGTTAATCCTATCTGTAAACTCAGAAAGAGCTCTCTCCAGCCTTTCAAGATACTTTCTCCCACTTCCAGAAATCTTATTTACAGGCTGCAAGAAGACAGGTAGCAATGTCCCTCCATCTCTCCTGTATATCCATGTCAGCCAACTACCCAACTGAAATGTAACCCAAATCAAAGGTCTTACTCCCATTCTCAATACTCGAGTTACTCAATTTGTATATTTTCTCTGTCTTTTAAGCCCCCTGAAAACAGAACTGCATCTAAATCTTTTCATGTGACATTTTAAATGACACTACATGCAAACTAATGCTTAAAAATATAATACTATTTGTGGTCATACAAATTCATAGGAAACTATGAGAAGGGTCAGGTAGAAAACAAAATTATTAAAAAAAGAGAGAAAGCAAAACTATAGAGATTTACTTTTCAAATACCATACTTTCATGACAGTAAATGATCAGTAAACTGCCCCACAAAGATACATAGTTCACTCAGGTTATTTGAAACATGATCAATATTTATCAGTTCCTGAGGTACATGCAATTATTTTTAACCATCAACTTTCTTGATGAGAACCTGATGAAATCACCACCACTTACTTTCTTAGAAGTGGAAATTGAATTCATTTTTAAATTAAAAATATAAGAACTATGAAATACATCTTAGCAGCTGACTTTGTCAAACTCCTATGTGTGTTTTCTACAAATGCTGCCTCTATAAAAATATGCTGATGCAAAGGAACAAAACAAATCATGAACAATGACAACTGAATATTAAAAATTGCAGAAAGTCTGACTTAGAGCTTTAAAATCCATAGTTCCTTTATCCCCTACATTGAACTTTGAAGGAAAACCTTCTAGGCAAGGACTTCACAAACTTCATTGGTCACATAGCCTAAAATGCCAACCTTATTAACAAAAATGAAATGTTTGCCCAACAATGACTATGAATTAATCAGTTATTCTTATTATTGTAAGTAGCATTCCAAAAAGGCATTGTTAATCAGTATAGACCAGCAGTGGTGAACTTATGGCATGTGAGCCACAGTGGGCTGTTTGTTATCACTGAAAGCTCTAAAAGGTTTGTCATCACTAGTAAAGGCAAATTTTCTGGGTACTGTTTTGTGCTATTGATAGAAATATATGGGTTGTACTGATTTCTTTTTTATGAGTGCTGATCACAAATTAATTGCCTTTCATAAATTATTTCCATATGCAGCAACTCCATAAAATTGATTCATAAACCTGATAAAATTATTAACAAAAATATCTTTACTTTACATTCTATAATTTTTGTTGTGAGAACAAATAAAAATGCTAAAATAAATACTAAAGTATATTCTGTATTCCGTAGATTATATCAGCAATCATCCCAAAGTTGTTAATATGTGTTTTGGTGAATATTTTTAAGATTGTTCAAAAGAGTAAGGGAAAAACAAAACCATCTAATAAGAAATCAAGAAGTAAACTCTTTAAGGGATTTTTGACCTTCCATGAATTTCACTACCCCATACACAATATTTTCTACCAACAAATACATTTTTAACAATCATTTGCTACATTGCCATCAATCAAAATGCTATCCCACCACCCTGCAAGCTTTGCTAGGTCTCACTTTAGTTCAAGACTTAGTCACAACCTTTGTTTTTGTTTTCCTACAGCATCTCTTCTATCCACAGGTACTTATGCTTAAGCAGGCCAACAAAATGGTCTCTTCCATGACTACAAATCTTTGAAGCTTAAATAAACTGAAGCAAGACTCCACTAGACTCATAAATGTTCTCAGCCCTGCCTATGAGAATTCCATGCCAAATACCAAAATGAGTTAAAGCTCCATCAGACAATTAAATGTTCATTCAAACATGCATATCAACAGAAGCTTTCATACTTTTTTTTTCTTCTCCTCCCTTTTCAACAATTCTTTCTTCCTCCATAATTTCTCTTTCTCCTCTTCCTTTTCTCTTCTTCTGGCAGAAATTTCCATTTCCAGTCTTGCTACCTCTTCCTGATGGGCTCGCCATTGAAAAACCTGAAATCAATAGGAAAACTTTATTTTGATGCCTTTGCACACTCTGGGGATTTCACATGAGACTAGGTTCTGAATCAAGCAGAAGTCAAATTTTGTTCAAATACATATTTAAATTATTTGTGTGTATGAATATATGACTTGTGTGCAAATGTGTATACATTAGTGTTAAAAAGGAAAAAATCTTTGTAAGTATCTCATTCAGAGACTCTTTACTTCATGGAGTCATAAATTCCCAATGTGTCTGTGATTTAACTTCAAAGGATCTGTGAGTTTCCATAAGTAGTATGTAAAAAATCCTGTACTTTTGCACTTGTGTGTTTTTTTGGAAAGAAGGCTAAACAACTCTTGAAAATTCTAAAACAGTCCTAAGACCCCACAAAGTTTAAGAACCACTGATAAATTTCAGCTTCCTTATTTTTGAGGATGAAAAAGTAGCCTGATTTGAAATGAAAAAAAAAAACATTGAAAAGAAATTCCTAGGTACTGATAAGTGCTATTAATGGAAGTATACTTGGTATAGGCTTTCCTTAGAACTTCTCACAATATATAAATATGTATCACAATATAAATATACATAAATAAATAAAATATGCAAAACCTTTGATCCATAACTTTACTTTCAAGAAATTATCCAAAGATAAGCTACTAGTCCAGTGCACAAAAACATACTAATAGAGATACTCACTGTAGTACTGCTTAAAGTAGAAAATTTGGGGAAAAAATCAAGACGTTTAGCAAATAGGAGATGGCTTAAATTAATTATAGTACCTTCATACAACAGCTACCAATAAGAAGGGATGTTAAATCTCTATATTCATTGACACAGAAAATATCCACAACATATTACTAGATGCAAAAAAGCAGATTCAAAACTACATTTATAGCATGATCTCATTAAAATAAAATGTTATCTATTCAAAGAAACATTTTGAATGGTGTTTACTAAAATGATAATATTGTCTCTGAAGAATATCATTTCAGGAGATTTTTAAAAACTTATTTTTTAAACCTTTCTGTATTGGGTGACATTTCTGTAACAAACAATGTTTTCTCTATAAGCAGGAAACCAATGAAATTAACCAAATAAAAATACTTACCTCTCCATGTACATACCTGATTGAGGAAGCAGTGAGGAAAGTAATACAGAAGTGTGAAAAATTCTAGTTTGTAAAAGCAAAACTAGCTTTCTTAATTAAATACCTAATTTTGTGTATATTGAATACAAGCATCATTCATCAATAGTAATACACAGAATGAAAATTGATAAAACAATGCTCTGCAATATTTAAAATAACTAGTCTCTTTTTGAACTTGACTATGTTCAAAATTTTAGTTTTATAAAAATGAAATTTTTCCATGCTTATCAAAACAACAAAAGATACACCCATGCCTTGTTTCCAAACACAGTTCAGTTTTGCCACCTATGGCTTCTCTAGACAATCATACCTGCCTCCTTTAGAACCCCTGGCCTAGAACAGATCATCAGTGCCTTTCGTCTTGACCTCGTGCTTCCTTCTATCCTTTATGTTCTGTAGGTCTTCTTCTATATGTAGCTTACTATAGTTAAAATCAAGTGTCTTCTCATGTACTTCCAGCAACCTCCCTTCTGAAACCCAAAGGATATTCTGTTTCTCTCCACTTCACCTCATGGTGGTTGGCACCTGGCCTGACTGACCATCCCTTCCCACTTAAAACTCTTTCCTCCTCAGGCCTTGATAGTGTCCTTCCATGCCCATGCACCAGTAACAGTGCCCTCTTGTTTCCTGCTTCCTGTGTCTGCCCCCACCCCTCTCTCTACACCATTCTCTCTTTGACCTCCAGCCTATATTCGTTACTTCATGCACTCCTCCTCTTCTATGAGTTCATCATTTCTAGTTGTCTAACTACACAATCTACAGTGTCAGGTCTTTTGTCTGCAATCCATCCTGCAACAAATTTTAGACTTGACTGTGTGAGCACTTAAAATCCAACATTTCTAAAATTAAGCCCAGAATCTGTAACTTAGCCATGGATTCATATCAAGCCCTGTGTACTTGCCTCTCTTTTTCAGATATCTTGCTTTGTGGGACTACATGTCCCCTGGTAGTTTGGCTTCTTTTTGATACTATGTGTGCGCATCAATATGACTATTTCTTTACATTTTACAGTGGATTTGTGAGAGCATGCATTTCATAAACTCAGATGAGCTTTTATTTATGACAAATTGATTTTCAAACCATTAAGCTTCCCAGTGTATTCAAAATCTTTATGCCAAATGTATTTAGAACAAGAACAGACAGTTCAAAAGGGTAATGCCAAGTGATCAATATGGAGTCTACATAATTTAACTTTCTCACTCTGAACCAATGCCAATAAATACATGAAAAAATGTTCAACATTGCTGGCCATTAGAGAAGTGCAAAAAGTAAAACAACACTGAGATTCCATCTTATTCTGGAAAGAATGGCCATCATCAAGAAAAATAATAACAAATCAGTGAGGCTCTTGGGAGGGTGGGCAAAGAATCCTTCCACATTGTTGGTGGAAATGTAAACTAGTACAACTATTATGTTAATTAGCATGGCAAGTCCTCAAAAAATTAAAAATAGAAATTTCACTTGATCCAGCTATCCCTATTTCAGGTATCTTCCTAAAAGAGTTAAAGACATCATATTACAGTGATACCTTGCTACCCACATTTATAGTAGCACAATTCATAATAGCTGAATTTTGGAAGTGGCCTATATGTCCATCAACAGATAAATGAATAAAGAAAATTTTATATTTATAAACAATGGAGTACTACTCTGCCATAAGGAAGGATAAATGAGTCATTTGTAGGAAAATGGATGAACCTCGAGACCAAAATGTTTAGTGAAATAACATCATATGGTTTCTCCTGTATGAGAAACCCAAAGTATAAATAATTTTTTTCCAGTACCAGGGATCGAACTCAGGACCTTGTGCTTGTGAAGCAGCACAGCACCACTGAGCTAAATCCCCTCCCCTTAAGTATAAATAATTTAAAGAGCAAAATAAAAGGAAAATAATAGGAACCATAGATCTTTTCATGTGGGAAGGAGACCAAGAGGTGGAAAGAGGGGAAGCAGAAAAGAAAGTAAAAAGAATTAAGATGTATCATGTACATGTACCAACTCCCCACAATGAATGTAATCTTCAAACACTGCAAACATGTACTAATCAAAATTTAAGAAATTAAAAAATAGTATCAGCCAAATGCATTGTTTGGATTATATATGAATAGCCCAATTGCAGAAAAAGTTATGAGATACTGTAACTAGTGCTATTTTAATATTAATTGGTTAGTTTATGCTATTAAGGAAATATTGTTAAAATTTATAGGGATGATAATAATGAGATTATGCCTTTTAATTCTAAATACTAACAGATGAAATATCATGTCTAACATTCTCACTATTTTCCAAGGGGCAAGGTAAAGTATATAAAAGTGTAGATAAAAATTCAACTCATTCAACTAATAAATTGACACTTATTGAACTTAAGTGACTATGGGCTTCTGTACTTGTTTAAAATTTTCCACATCAAAAACTTATTTTAAAGGAACCAGAAAATATAATGTATACTCAAAGAAATTATATAATAAAAGATTGTAGTAGTAAGGTTTTCGGGTAGTAGGAAAAAAGATTTGTGGTGCACTGAAGCAATGAAAAGAAAACCACGTGCTGAGTACCGAGACTGTTTTTATTATTTCGATGGACATAAGTTTGGGTTTTAGTATTACTCGTCTTCTGATTTAAGACAAACTTAGAGAAACTGTCATTGAATGACTTTCCATATATTGTATATGTCATATGATTTAATGAACCAAAGGAATGAACAAAGGTCTATAATGAGAGAATATTTCTGTTTCCTCGAGCAAGTACAGCAATCAAAAATGAAAACAAAAAACACACATCAGAGTGAGGTAACCAGTTTACCCACCAATTTACCTGTAATTTGCAAGTGTAAAGGAGGCTTATTCTCTTCTTCAGAAAAAAAGAGAATTATGCCAATGTTTTTAAGAGGTATGCACACACCATAGAATTCCAAAACAGTTGGCAAGTTCAACAACCAAAAGTCAACAGGTTATAGATGTCAAATAACAATGAAGAAAAGAGAAATACTGAGAAGTAAGTGCCTAGAGCAAGCCATCCGCCCTCAGAAAATAAACTGCTTAATACTGGAATCATAGGATTGGTCAGCGACCCACTGAAGTTTACTTGAAGTCAATAATTCACAATAGCAGCTGTAATTACAATCAGAAAAATATAGGAGTGCAGAAAAAATTAGCATGGAAGCCAGAGTTGTGAGATCATGACAATGAGAAACAGGCTCAGTAGCAACTGGTATCTATGCAATAAAGTAAAACTGGGTTTTTCAGAATGCACAATGGATAAGGTGAAGAATTGGGTAGGAAAAGGATGCTGTTCAAAAAAATTCTTATCCAGTGGATCCTCTCAGAGAATACCAAGAGATTTAGATGGCTCCCATGTGGAGAGAAAGACAACCAATTACTGTATTTTCTGAGATGCCTAAGAATAAGAAAGCTGGCAGGTGGGCAAAGGAATCAATATTAGCACAATAGGCTTAAAAAGCACAGAAAACTTCTGAGAGAACAGTAAGCAAAAGGAAGAATAGCCCAGAAGAACATTTTAGCAGTTTTATTTTAAAGGGTTTGCTAATTATATAGCTTTAAACAGGGCTTGTGAACATAAGTGTAGCAGTAATAACCATGAAAGAACATTACCTCAGTGGTGGTCATGTGTACATTATAAGGAAAGCATTATTTAGATTATTAACTACAGGACATTTTTCTAGGTCTTTTTTTTCCCCTAGGTATTTAGCTAACACTTCCTTCAAAATTCCTCCCAAGTGTGCAGTCTTTGAATGAGATCTTAACCTAACAGAGGGCAAATGGCATTTAAAATATGCTCAAGTAATAAATTAAGGATTTTTAACTGGTTAGATGGTTAGTAGCATTAAATGGTTAAATGGTTAGT